CTAGGGTATGCCACAAAGGTGTGCTGGACAGGTGTACTTTCAACCTTGTTCACATTCCAAATCCTTTTTGCATTTTGTTTGTAGTAAAAAGTCCACTTTCCTAGATCCATGTACCATCCTTGCCAATAAACCCAGTTCTTGGTGAATACTTTGTAGGCATGCTGCTGACTTTATACTTCAGTTTGAAAATGTAGCAGTCCATTGCCTCTTGGAAGGACTAAGCTTAGCTGAGACAAGTGTCTTTTTCAGCTTGCAAACATTTTTTATAAATTTGTCATCCTCAGTAAAAAAAATGATTATATATTTTTATAGTGAGATTTCACATGGCACCTACTGCATGGCAAATGGCAAATAGAATCAATGATACTCTACACTAGTCAGCCATAACTTTATGACCACCCACCTAATATAGAGTAGGTCCCCCTTTTGCCAACAAAACAGCCTTGATTCATTGAGGCATTGACTCCACTAGACCTCTGAATGTATGCTGTGGTATCTGGCACCAAGCCATCAGTAGCAGATCCTTTAAGTCCTGTAAGTTTCGAGGTGGGCCTCCATGGTTCAAGCACATACCACAGATGCTTGATTGGATTAAGATCTTGAGACTTGGAGGCCAATCCAACACCTCAAACTCATGTTGTGTTCTCAAACCATTCTTGAACCATTTTCTGCAATGTGGTAGTGTGTGTTATCCTACTGAAAGAGGCCACTGCCACCAGAGAATACAATTTCCATGAAGGGGTGTACTTGGTCAGCAACACTGTTTAGGTACTGTAGGTGGTTTGTGTCAAAGTAATATCCACATGAATGGCGGGACCCAAGGTTTCCCAGCAGAACATTGTCCAAAGCATCACACTGTTTCCGCTGGCTTCCTCCTTCCCATACTACATCCTGGTGCCCTCTCTTCCCCAGGTAAGCAATGTACACACACCCAGCCATCCATATGATGTAAAAGAAAATGTCATTCATCAGACCAGGCCACCTTCTTTCATTGCTTCATGGTCCTGTTCTCATGCTCACATGCCTACAGTAGGTGCTTTTGGCTGTGGACACAAGTTTGATTGGCCACTCTGACCGGCTTGCGGCTACCCAGCCCCATACACAACAGACTGTGTATCCCATTTGTTTTGCTTTCAACACATCAACTTCATGGACAACATGTCTACTTGCTGCCTAATATATCCCATTGACTTCCAGATGCCATTGTAACAAGATAATCAATTTTATTCTCTCAAACAGTCAGTGGTCATAAAGTTGTGGCTAATCAGTGTATATTTCAGTACCTTTTAGCTCTTTAAATACTGTTGATACCAGTGTATATAGTGCTTTTTTCAGGCTATATTACTCAGATACCAGTCCTTTACCTGTTCTAGCGATGGCTGTTCCTTTTTACACCCTTTAGTTATGTGTGACAAGAAACTGACCCTGTAATCTTGTGAAAATAAGCCAAGTTTTTGTAGCAGAAGTTGTGGAATGTCCTGGTCTCTCCCTGTGCGTATAAAACGATTACTTATTTATCAGCTGCCTGGCCCAGGGACCTTTAAGCTGTTTAGCGAATTCCAATATAACCGCAAAGTGTGGCTGAAATAATGACAATGGGGTGAAGTTAACCCATGCAATTGACGTAACAAAATCCTCTCCAAATAAAAGATATCTAGACAGTTGCTGGGCCTTTACGGTACTTTTATATCATACATGGTATGTTGGAGAAATCTATTTCAATATATTAGACCAAGGAGATCATTTGCATAGTAAACAGCTGAACCCTAGGCTAAAGACACAGATATATATATATATATATATATATATATATATATATATATATATATATACATACATACAGTATATATACACTGCTCAGCCATAACATTATGACTACTGATAGGTAAATTAAATATTATTGATTATCTCCTTAAATTAGCATCTGAAATAGGGTAGAGTAAATTAGGCAGCAAGTGAACATGTTGTTCCTGAAGTTGATGTATTGAAAGCAGAAAAAATGGGCAAGTGTAAGGATTTGAGCAACTTTGACAAGGGTCAAATTTTAATGGCTAAAAACAACTGGGTCAGAGCATCTCTAAAAATTCAGCACTTGTGAGATGTTCCCGGTCTGCAGTGGTCAGGACCTACCAAAAGTGCATCAAGGAAGGACAACTGACAAACCAGAACAGGGTCATAAACAGCCAAGGCTAATTGATAGTCTGATCCAATAGAAGAGCTACTGTAGCTCAAACTGCTGAACACATTTACTGTCTTACTTGTGTAACCCAGAGTCAGCTGATACCGGGCTACTACCTGTTATTAGCTGACAGGGCAGAGTTACGCCATATGATGGAAGGATCCTGGCAATATTGTCAGGATCCTTCCGGCTGCCTGATTGACAGCTGGCTCCACCTTTCAGTGTGCAGTGAGAGCTGTGGCCAGTCACCCCTCCACCAACCTGTCACTCTAGTGTGTGCTGGAGGGGCAGAGAGGGGTGCGGTGATTCACAGTCATTGTTCTCTATGGGAGCAAACCAACAGCTGACTGATCAGCATGGCACCATACAGTATCAAATGGATACTGTGACAAGGAGATGAATCTTTTTTTTTTTTTTTTTTTTACAAACTCCATAATTCTCGTTGAAATATATTGCCTACAAACTTGTCTCCAGCTTGCTGACTGGTCAGTGAAATATTGCCATTCTCTCTACCATTTATACTACCTGTATTTAGAAAATACATGTAATATGTTTAAAGAACACATAACTGGATTCAATTACCTGTATTCAGCAAAAAATTATTCTTTGCATCAGTAGAGACCACGCGACCTCTCAGGCTCAGTCCTATCATTCTGCTTCCAGTGTAATGGTTGAGATAAGATCTCACCCACTGGGGAGTGCATCTTCAATTAGTTGGCTGACTCACAGACTTGCAGTGTGGGAAAGGGCAGTAAAGCCGACCATAGACTGTTCAAATCTCAGCTGGTTTAGCAGGGACTGGCTGAGATTAGAACCATGTATAGGCTGGATGAATGTACCTAAATTGATCAATCTATCAACTTGGATACAACCAGCCTGTTATATTTTACATGTGTTTTCCCGCCCTCCTTCCGGGAGAACACAGTGGCTCCTCGGGAGGTTAGTGTTGATGGGGGATTCAATCAATTTTCTTTCCTGCAACCACTGCTTGCAGGAAAGAAAATCTCCCCATCTATGGTTGCCTTAAATCATACCCATTTTATAGCACTGCATAGCAGGAGTCTGATTATGTAATGAATAAACATGGATTTGCACATATACACATACAATTAAAATTATATATATAAACAAGGTAAAAAAAATAAAATCACTATCTTGATCAAATTATTTACACCTAGTTCATCTGTTTCCCTCAGCCGGCAAGTTAGCTTAAGAAATTACAGTCTTTATCAAGCCCTTACATTGGTCTTCTGATATATTACATTGTGTTTCTAATAACATTTACTGCTCAAGCCCTGAAGAAGTGGGAGGCCTTTCCCCTGAAACATGTTGGCTGAATTTGATACTCTAAACCACTGGTCTCCAAACTGTGGCCCGAGTGCTGGATGTGGCCCTTTGCTTGCTTTTATCCAGCCCTTGGGGCACTGTTTTATCCACTGATACACCAATGGGCATAATTCCCTCCACTGACACCAATGGAGGAGCACAAATCCTCCATATGACAACAATTATGGAGCACAATTCCTCACAATGACATCAATGATGGGGTGCCATGCCTCCCACTAAAACCAAAGCAGGGGCATGGTTTATTCCCACTGATGGCAGGACCTTTTCTACTCCCAATGGCCACAGTCCAGCCCCCCTAAAGTCTAAAGGACAGCAAATTGGCCCTTTGTTTAGAAAGTTTGGAGACCCCTGCTCTAAACTAAGGGTGTCCAACCTTGGACAGCCACATTGAAAGAAGAGGAATTGTCTGGGGCCACATATAAAATACACTAATCACTGATATAGATAATGTAATAAAACATACAGTTTTTGTAATTTTTTTTATTATAAAAGTAAAAGAAGGCAACATAAAGCTAGTGCAATATTTGACACTGATTTTGATAAAATAATGCATCAATATTTTGTTCAATGGATGTAGTAGCAATTCTCAATTAATTCTCAAGGTGGTCATCAGATATTTTGGTTCTAATTTTGCCCTTTGTGTGCTTCATCCTTGAAAATAGTTGTTAACGAATTTTGGTGCTGCTAGGAACTGAGGACATGAATAAGGAGTGATTGTGAAGAGTGGGTTATTTTTCTTTGGGAAGATAAAACTTATAAAAGGCCTGTAAAGTGACACAGTTAATATTTTCTTCTGCTGCATGTGTTAATGAAGTGTAAATGCACTTACAACATTTCTATGTAAGTTTATGATTTTCATAGCCGTCCTGGGCTGCATGTGGCCTGTGGGCCACAGGTTGGACACCCCCCGCTCTAAACCAATACTTGTTAAAAAAAAACTTAAAATGGAACCAAACCATCGATTTAATGGTTTCAAAACCATACAATTAAATTTCCAGCATCTGTCACATTTGCTTGTACAGATCAAACAGAGGGTTAGATGGCAGCTTCCTTGACTGAAAGAGATAGGAGGGTATAGTTCCGCATTAAGCGATATGAGCTTTCCTTATAGGTGATCCTCAATACCTATTTCAGAGTTATTTTTTTTTTTTTTTACATAAACAACAAATAACATAAAAAAAGCTTTATTTGTGCCCATCCTTTGTCAGTCACTATCTGTCTACATGCATTTGCCTCATCTTCATACCATTATTTTGAACTGAACAGGCCTGCGGAATGTATGTCAGCCAATTGTAGTCTTCAATTGACGTTCAAGTGATAGGGTGACAGCACAGGAGTACAGTTAGGAGACAGCCGACAAGTGGTAAAGCTTATATAATATTTTAGTCATTTTGCTTAGATCTACTTTAAATGTAAGTTTTTGACAGCCTCAAAGCCTTCATCTCTAATACATTCTCTTGTATGTTTATTTGCAGATCCTCCAGTTGCAGCAGCAGTGAGATCTACTTTTCTAGACTGCACGGAAGCCCACAATGACTTCTGCTTCCATGGGACTTGCAGGTTTCTAGTGCAGGAGGCAGAACCATCCTGTGTGTAAGTCATCATTTTGTGCCCAGCTCACAATACTAAGAACGCTCATATGATTGCATGAAATGCTGCTTCTGACAGATGTGGGGTCACTTTACTAGGCCAGCAGTCCTACTGATTTCCTTCTGAACATGCCAGTTGAGATCAGATGTGTCAGAAAAAAGTCAGAATTCCTTATTTGCATGATTGTTCCAAGTCATTAACTAAAAAAGTGTGGCAGGAAAGCCGGGCATAGACGAGTTAAAAACTGAATGGTCTGTCGATCAAAAACTAAAATGGCGCATACGATTGTGCCATCATTTGTTTTGTTTTCTAAAAAAAATCCAGCATGTAGGATCAGGCACTTGCGATTGTGGCACAAAAAATCATGTGTCGCTGCTGGCACACTAATGATCCAAAATCGAACTACCTGACGATCAACAGGAATTTCAATAAATTTTTGGCCCGTCTATGGCCTGCTTAAGAGGCCAGTACAACAGCTAGATAACAAGTATTTTCAAAGAATGCCAGTCTTGGAGTGTGAATTTTTAAAAGCAGGTAGATAACGCAAGCTCCATTTTTCTAGCATGATAGGTTCCCTTCAATGCTCCTTGCTAGAAGCCACACAGCCTCCACTGCTTGCACAGAAAATGATCCCTTAAATTCTATAGAGAGGCTGTCTACCACCAGGACTCATAATAGACACTCTTCCTATAAGAATCAACTCTATTCTTTCATGAAACAAGAGTCCAGGAAGGAGATTTTGGTGCAGCGGCTTTGCAGTTCCCAGCAGGACTCATGGAGTGATTACCTGCATATGATCAGCCTTGGAAACAGGCGGTCATTAAATGTATTTTCTGAATGCAAGCAGTGTAAGTTGCTATCAGATCCTTGCAGTCCATGTACAGCAGGGTTTAGACTGTGAGTAATAGAAGCAGCATAAGGAGCCAGTCAGCTGTGCTGCAGTGGTCATATGAAAACATGGGACATGCTGATAAGGAGAGAGTAACAGAAAGGTGAGCTACTTCTCCTTTCACTGCCCAGTCAGAGGGTGGGGGAGGGACAAGACCTGTCAATATTGCTTAACTGCAGTAGAGAAAAATCAGATCTCCTTGCCTGGCAGACATGGCTGTACTGCGTGAAAGAGCTAGGTACGAGATCTCTCTTTTATGTATTTATGTGTGTGTAGCTAATAGTATGCCTAAAGTTCAGCTTTAAATATCAAAATCTAAGTGCTGTTGTAGAAACTAGTATAGTAGTAGTAATTTATCAGAAACAAGCTCCACTTTGATCTGTAATAAACCGTTCTTGAAAAATGTATTTGACGTACAGATACTGTGATATGAAGACGCATCATCAGTAGTTTCATTGATTTGTCTGTGACCTGCTGTATGAAAACTCTTTCGTCATGATCTTCAAATGCACCGTCGCATCTAATCTTCAGAATATCCCCAATAAAACTCATAACCTTTGCCTTTCTACAGTGCCAAGAGCTATGAAAGCCCAGCAATGATATGGTTATATGTACTTCTAAGTCATTTACTTGGCTACTGTTGCAGTTGTTTGCTTGTATTAATGAAAAACAATAGAAAAAAATGTCACTAGACAGTAAAATTTATCTTTCACATACCGGCAATGTAGTCGGGAGAGCGGATTATTATTCACAGGCGTATAATTATATTACATGTATATGTTGTGTACATTCATTTTTAAAAAATATTTTCATAAGGGTAATATTGCATACAAAAATATCATATCTACAATTTTCAGCTAGCTCATGGAACTCTAGGCTCCTTTTCACATGTTTACCAGGCTATTCACAACTGCCTTTCTGAGAAAAAAAATGATTTTCTCATTGAGTTTCTTCTTTATGTTTTGTTTTTGCAGATGTCTTCCAGGCTACGTGGGTATACGTTGTGAGCATGCCGACCTCCTAGCGGTAGTGGCAGCAAATCAGAAGAAACAGACCATCACTGCACTAGTGGTGGTGTCAGTGGTAGCCACAGCTCTGCTGATTGTTGCCTGTATATTAATGCAGTAAGTAAATCAACTTCAACAAGATTGTACTTTGCTTGCTATCTTCCACCTACTTTTAGAATTGTATCTGAAAGAAACATATGATGCTCTGTAATGAAAAACCACTTTTGCCACTTTTTGGCTGCATTATGGTACCTTTTGACTGTAGTACCCTACTGTGGCTCAGTTGAAATTCCAGGAGCCAGGTAGTCATTGTTAATTCCTGGTGCCTAATGTTTGTAAGCCTTGAGTAGAGATACATGTCCCCTTGCTTCTTAAAGTGCATGTAAACCCTAACAATGAATAACTCTTATTTGCTCCCTTTTATGCTGTTAAATATACCTCTGAAAGCATTTTGCTATATCGGTTCAACAAGTGCAGAAAATACCTGTTGGTCCTGTCAGAAATTTAGAGCTGTTCTGTGTTTTGCACATATTTCCTTTGCTATCTCTAGCAGTATTATCAGCCCTTGTAGTTCTTATCTAGGACTACAAAACAATTAGACCTATGTTGTGAAGAAGGTGAGGGATTCAGTAGTTTAGCAAAAGACAACTGGACAGGGCTGACACTATGACTTGCTATTTTAGTCCAGAAAATGTGTGCTGTCAGCCTACACAGGGGAAATTAGGAGCTGAATGCATTTTTTAACCGCTTCCCATGCGCCTTATAGCAGTAATACTGCTACAGGGCGGCACGACTGCGCACAATCATGTATATATACGTGATTTTGCATTTCCGAGTAGGGGGTGAGCTTGAGCCGCGCATGCGCCCTACCCGCGCCACTATTCGCGGCCTCGGCTGTCAACCATCGGGTCTCGGCCAGTTATGACTCGTCGGCACCCGGTGATCAAGGAGGATTACAGATGGAGGGAGAGAACTGTAAGTAAACAATAGAGGTCTCTCCCATGTCAGCTCCTGCACACTGCTATGCATGGCTTGCATAGCAGAGCCATGCATAGCATTGTGCTTACAGTGAAGCACACACACATAGAACACAGTAAAACAGCACACAGCAGAGTTAACCCTTTGATCGCCCCACATGTTAACCCCTTCCTGCCCAGTGCCATTAGTACAGTGTCAGTGCTTTTTATTAGCATTGATCACTGTTTAATAGCAAAGAGTCAAAAATATAGTTTTTCCCTCAAAATTGTCAGTCTTTTTTTTTTTTTTTTTTTTATAGCGCAAAAAAATAAAATACCACCAAGCTCTGTGGGAAAAAAAAAGAACGTAAATTTAATTTGGGTGCAGCGTTGCATGACCACGCAATTGTCAGTTAAAGTAACGCAGTGCCATAACTCAAAAAAATAGCCTGGTCAGGAAGGGGGGTAAATCCTCTGGAGGGCAAGTGCTTAATTCGTTTTTATTGGTTTATATGGAAGAGGGCTACAAAACAGAGCCTACGGGGCATACCCTGGTTCTGAGTGCATATAGTGGTACAAAAAAAAAAACAACAAGGAAACAAAGAACTAGTTGAAATCTGCCCAAGGGGCATCAAAACGTGCTCAGAGTTCACAAAGTTCAGCAAAGAGGAGCAAGACATAGGAGTAAAACGTGTCTATCACAATAACATATGGGGAACACACAAATATAGGGTAGAGTGTTACATGTTACAGTACATAAAATTTGACTAGTCAAAGGGGAGGCCAAGGTTCTCATCACAATAAAACTATCCAGACAACTTCCATTATAAGGGTGTGAAGTATACCTCAAGGAAATCGATTAAGTAACAGTAGCACTGGAGTCTATCCATATATTCCAAATCTTGGAGAATTTCCTTGGACAACCCCTGGAATAGTATGTGTCTTTATACAAGGGGATCATATTTTTCTGTACTTGAATGCTCTTAAAATGGTTTAAACATGGGGAAATGTGCATGTACTGCAGAGATGTACTGATTATTGTTGTTTTTTGGCCTTGACACAGTAGTACTTATTGGGGTTGATTTACTAAAACTGGAGTGTGCAAAATCTGGTGCAGCTGCGCATGGTAGCCAATCAGCTTCTAACTTGTTCAATTAGGCCCAAAAAAAAATGAAAGCTGATTGGTTTCTATACAGAGCTGCACCAGATTTTGCACTTTCCAGTTTTAGTAAATCAACCCCATGGACTCATAAATTAATTATTTCCTGGTTTAAATTAATTTACTTGCTTGTTTGTCCTCATTCAGAATGAAAAAGAACAAAGACTAGCCATTTAAAATCAGATGAATGCCACAAAGACAGGGCTACCTTCAATTCTAGTAATGTGTGTGTACTTTTTACAAGCCAGTGTAGCCCTACATGCCAGCTTTCCTGCTGAATCAGCCAATATTCGAGCCATAGTTGGCTCTGTCAGCACCAACTGGCTCAAAAAAAGTTAATTTTCAAGGAGCCCTGTGGAAAATTGTCTGAACATTGACTACATCCAGTCAGATGTTTAGCATTGATTAAGGAATTTATTACATTTCTGTTGTTCAACCTACAGACTAAAAAGAGAAATCTGTATCTGTATGACTAGCCATAGACCCGGTGATACAGGACATAGAGATTTACTAAAACTGGTGCAGCTGTGCATGGTAGCCAATCAGCTTCTAACTTCAGCTTGTTCAATTAAGCTTTGACAATAAAACCTGAAAGCTGATTGGTCTCTATACAGAGCTGTACATGAGTTTGCACTCTCCAGTTTTAGTTACTCTCCCCCACAATATTAGAGGTCCTTTATTGACTGTTCATGAAAGTGGGCAGGTTCTTCCTTAGCATGCCATCTAACTTGTGTCCAATCCCAGGATGGGATTCTAATCCTGAATTTAGAAATTATTTAAATAAATCTCAGGTTTGTATCCTGCGTCTGTGTGAGTTTTGCTGCCAATTCAATTACAATTTTGTAGGTTATCAAGGTTTACCTTTCAGTTTACTGCTGACTAACAATAGTTCCCTTGTGCTTTGTAGCTGTTGTAGCTGGAGGAAACAGTGTGAGTGGTGTCGATCAGTTTTATGCCGACACGAGAAACCAGACGGTGTCTTCAAAGGAGGAGCATCCTGCTGCAAGTCAGAAACAGGTAAAAACTACTAACCTTGAGTAGGAGAATGAGGGTTATTTTACCATTTCACATTGTAAAATTGGATGTCTGCAGACAGGAAGTGTTCCTATTGCAATGCCATTCAATAAAAAATTTTGGATGGAAAACAGTTGGGTGGGGAACAGAAAAAAATGACAGAGCAACATAGTTTTCCTCCAAGTATAAGAAGCAGGTTGGATATATAAATATATAAAAACCAAAACATTTTTAATAGAGTGGTGAGGGTTTAGAATCCCTTCTCAGTCGCTGATTAAATCATATTTTTTGTTCTGCTGATCTTTGTCACCAGGACTCAAAAAGTGAACAAAAATCTAAAATTTTGAGTTGTCACTGAAACTAGAATAGAGGGAAAATCTTCCAATGGGAAACTTGTTACAGAGACAACTAAGAGTTGATTGTCTTAATTTTGAAGAGATTACCTTCCACTTCCTGTTGTGTCTACAGGACAGGAAATTATGGGAATTTCTCCAATGTAACATCAACAGCAAAAGCAAAAAAAACTATTTTAAAATATTATAAAATCTAAAATTTAAAAATGGGCTCATCTAGCATCCTTGTCTCTTGAAATTTTGTAGTACCTTTAACTAGTATGTAACAGACAGAAGAAAGGGCTTTCCATGTATGCCACATTTAATCTAAACCAACACAACATTTGCCGTACAGTGGAAAGTGGAAACAGGATGTTCTATAAAATGGAGCCTGAAAGCCAGGGAGGTTCATGGTTTAGGGGGTGAAAAGGGCAGCTTAGACCATAAATCCATGGCATCTTGCCAAATGTAGTTAAAAAAGAGGTTACAGTATCCACAGGAGGAACGTTTAACTGCCGACGTGAAAATAACGCAGCCATTGTGAGGTCGAGTGAGATGGGGACTTGCACAAGGTTACTTTGTCTCTTATGGAAACATGTGGATATGTGGAAAGAGCCCTCTCCTTCCTGAGCCGCCGCATTCACACAAATGGTCAAATACATATTGCTGTGATTTCATCTCCTCCTTGCATCAGCCAAGTCACACCTGCTGTTTTCCAGTTTAATGTAAAGATAAATGGAACAGTCACAACATGATTCACAGACCTGTCACCATGTATTAAATGGCTCCTGAGTCAGGAAAATATGTATCATTCTGTATTAGTGGCTCCAGTCGGTTTTGCGGGGCTTTTATAAAAACGATGCTGGCAGTGGTCATGTATGACAGGTACACTTTACTTACAAGCAGTCTCTATGCAGGAGAATGCAATGACTGTAATCTGATAATTGCAGTGCGTTCCCATGAAGGTGAAGGGAAACTGGATGTGGAGAACTTAGGAGCCATTTTTGAGCATCAGAAAATACAGTGTGCAAATATTTGCATTTCTGTCTCTCCCTCTCTCCAAACATACATTTATGTACACTTATCTTTCTATCTTGTAATAATTATTGTATGTACAGTATGACAGCTTCTCTCTGTTTATTAGCAGAAGTTAGCCAAGAAGTGAAATTAGACAGCGTTAGATTGCACAGGGATGGTGGAGCATCTTGGCTGAGGTGTCCTTCTTTATTGGTTTCCCAGCTCCGTGTTCTTGAACAGAGATCTGTTCAAAAAAAGCAGCTTAGGAACCATTCATCTGTAGAGAGAGGATTTTCTTGCCATGAAGAAACCATCTGATTATTATTCACGAGTACTATATGCATTGGTTGGCAGTTTGTCAGCTGTGGTATTTACCAGTAGATTCTAAGGGTGGAGATGAGATTCCAATAGTAGAATGACCTATTATACTGTTTAGAATCATTTCCAGTCCAGCTTTTAATAAGCTTCATGACACACCTATAATGAATTTTCTATGTATTTTACACTAATACCGGCCTTTAGCCTAGACTGATTCTGAAACTACTGTGTTATTTGTACAAAAACCATAACTATATGAGGAATCACCAAGAACTTTATGACCAACAGCAATAACCATTAACAAAATGGAAGATACCAATTACTAATTCTCACAGTTCTTCACATTCCTGTTATAATAATAATATTGCTACTATTGTTATTTATACAGGGTTAAACTGTGACCCCCTAGGAACAGTTCCTGGGGGGCAGTATATGCATTCTCCAAAAATGAAATTAATGCACTCCAGGAAATGTTATAGAGAGTAGCAAAAATCACTAGAAATTGCTTATTGTCAATATAACTGAAAATTCTAATTCTTGCATTACTCAAATCCTGACTAATTCTCTTTAATGTGGCTTGAACTAATAGGACCTGGTATAGCTCTTGGACAAAATCAGCATTTTCGTTTGATTTATGTTGTGGTAAATTGTCTTTTTGTTTCTGGACCCCTGACCATCACACCTATATGAGCTTCTTTGAGATTCTTTTCCAAAACCATAGTCAGTGATATGGACTTGGCCCCATTTGAGTCTATAACATTCTCTGTTCTTCTGAGAAGAATTTCCACAAGATTATGGAGCGTATCTTTGAGAATTTGTTCTCCTTAAGCAAAACAGCATTTATATAAGGCCAGGTACTGATTTTGGACAGAAAGATTTGGCTCAGAATTGACATTCCAACTTATCCCAAAGGTGTTTATTAGGGTTAGGTTCAGGGCCCTGTAAAGACCACTTAATTTCCTCCACATGAAAATCATCTTTATGGATCTAGTGGAGTGCACAGAAGCATAGGCTTACTGGAATTAAAAAAGAATCTTGTTGAAACAGTTATCACAAGGTTGGAAAGACACAGTTGTCTAAAATGTCTTTTGTATGCTTTAGCATTAATAGTACCATTCACAGGAAACATCCGTAATCAACAATTTAGAGGAGCATCTACATAGCTATATGCAGGCGTGATGGTCAGGTATCCACATGTTTTGGGCCATGTAAAGTAATACATAGTAACTCATAATTTTCTCTAATTTTTTTGTCTTGCTTTTCAGTGGTCTGAAAGAGATTGCAAGAGTCCAAAGGCATCTTCTTGGCTACAGAATATTAGAGATCCAGCCTGCTCAACTCACTTCTCAGACTACAGCTGGGACTCATAATTGTAACCGGACACATGTTGGACTCTGTGATGACTAATGGGAACTCATTACCCAACGTCCCCTGCACAATGTGAAGCAGTGATCCTAGGAGGAGCTCACTTCACACTGGAAATTGAGACATGTTTGGATTCTAAGTAGTCTGGGTGGATCATAGAGTGCGGCCAGCGGTGGATGGACTGACCCTCTAAGTGTTGAGTTTATTTTTGTTACAAAGGGTCTACTTTGGGTTTGATTGTTCTTTTAACGACCCATCTGTCAAGTGGGTCATCTAAACATTGTAAGTCGTGGCCGTATAGGTCTACCTGTTGGCAAGATGGGCAGAATATTCATATTTTATATTCTTCAAAAAGACTGCAAAGATGTTGCTTTACATGGACCATTCTTTAATATACCATGCTGCTGGCATTTCAGTATACATAGAATTATATCTAGGGACAGCCTGGTGATATCCACAGGAGTAGAAAATCCATTTTGAGTTAATTTTTTGAAGAGCAGAAAGCTATTTTTAAGTTTGAAATTCAGATTACCTATACAGTGCATTAGTATTAACTTATCGTAGAACCTCTTAACTTGGTCATATTCACAGTTCTAGCTAAACTTACAGGACGGCTTTAAAAACTATCTTTAGTTCTGTTTTGGAAATATCCAGTCCCACTGGAGCTGGCAAATGTACCTCCTATTTAACATTTGGAAATGTCCACAACAACCAGAGAATTATGACCAACTGGAATGCTTCTTCTTCTAAGTTCATCATCTGGTCTCCAGCAGCATTCATGGCTTTGGATTGTCACACGAAGGCTTTTGGTTTTAGCATGGACATTGTGGACTTGATGTTTTTCAGATCTTTATGCTTCATTGCTTGATTCCATGCAGATTGCTGGGTGTTGGGTGATAACCCCACTAGAAACGTCACTCTAAACTATTCATTTTATTGTCTGTAATATTCATATACATTAGCAGAATACAGGTGATCCAGTTCAGGCTTAGCAATAGCAGAAGAAGTGCTGGTAGAAGGGAACTCGTCCATAGCTTAAACTTATTAGTGGTTAAACCTTAGTCACGCTCTGGAAGCGTGTACTGTATGCAAGTTTTCTAAATACTTGGGTAGAATCTCAGAATAATGGAAAAGCACGGTCATGTTTTAAAGTGAGGAAATGTCAAAAGCAAATAATAGTCAGTCTTCTACCTGACAAACCTAAATAATTTGCATCACTACCCACCTCTTCTATTGCATCAGTGTTTCCCAGTTAAGGACACTTATGCAATTAATAATCAACCCACCTACCTGCTGACGACCAGTTACGGTACAATCTTTTCCAAAATATTAACTGGAACAAGTACAAGTCCAGACAACATCTTTATCCATGCCACTAATGGCTAACACTAGAATAAAAATATTGTCTTAAAAGACCCTTCTGAAAATTATGCAGAGCCACAGTGATACAAGTTCCAGACATTGGGAAACCCTATACTACATTTTGCTAACTGAGCAGAACAGCTTACACTTACCAGAATTAGAGAGCAGACTTTTTATGAAAATGTTGAAGTAAGGTATCCCAACATAGACCTACTTTTTGTTAATTATTATTATATATATATATATATGGCAGCTAGAGGTGTTGAGAACCAGTAATCACTAAGGATTGTTCATTCTCATAAACTGTATTGGGATTATGTAATGCGTCCATTTAAATGCACATGGTACTCATCAACGTTCTTCTTTAAACCCAACCTTGCCTATGCACCTATAGTTTAAACTGCCCCTTATAGTGTGCTGTTGTAAAGAAGCACATAGTGATACAACAACCAACAGTTTTCCGTGTATGACATTGCTACACCAGTCTCCAAAGACACAGTATTTTCCTGTTAAGAGTAACTGATTTCCCGCTACCATGACATCACATAATCAGAGAAGGGTAATGGAAGGCATACATGAGTCTTTCATTACCCATCATGACGTATGTG